GTGTACCTTAAAGACCACTAAGCCTTTTTCATGTGCCGTCACAAACAAATGTCACAGAGTCACCAACAAAATTGTACCACCACTTCCATGTAGCAATAATTCGCATGGTATGAAAGAGAAACAATAATTCTCAGGAGTCTTGTATTTTTCTTTACTGGAAAAAAAAATTACAAAGAAGACCTGCAGATCTTTAAATTAAATAATAAGTCAAATTTTAAACTTTACAAAACCTGAGATCGGAAATTGATAAACAACATACAAATACATTTCTTGGCCGTTTGGCTAAGATCAAAGGTCGCACGACTGCACATGTGGGTAATTCTTTTATTTTGCTGCTCTATAGCCGACATGGTATAAAAGAGAAACACCTAATAGATGCACATTCTACCACAAAATAATAATATAACATATCAAGAAATTATTGTTGTGATTGTAACACGGCTTGTCCGCAAATGTTTTAACACATTTATATATATTAATGTTTTTTTGAAGATTTTTTATTATTATTGAGAGAGAAGATAACATACTAAATTCACACAGAACAATGATGGTAGGACTCGGACTTAGAACTTTTCATGGAGAGCAATTATAACAAATCCCTACACTAGTGGGTCTAGGGACGGAGTCTTGTTAAGGCCTGAAGGGGCCTGGGCCCTCCCAAAATTTTGATACAATTTAATATTTTCGGTCTTCGCTTTCTATTGGTTTAGGAAGCATATATAATAATTATTGCTTGTGGCCCCCTCAAAATAAAGAAAGATGTGTTTCTCTTTACCAGTAAAAGACTGAGTGATTTCTTCACAAAATAGTAAGATTAAGTGATTTTAGAGCCCACAATATATTAATAAAATAAAAGCATCCAATCAAATGAAGTTTCAAAAAATCTCCTTTATCAAATAGGAAGTAGAGTTTTACCCAAATAAAAAAGGATTGGGATTTTAATTTTCATTGTTATAGTTATATGTTTTGTATCTTATATGTTCTATGAATAGAATTTTTTTTTTTTTTTTTTTTTTTTTTTTTTTTTTTATTTATGGAATTAAGTCCTTAATAAATTTTGTAATTGATTTGTAGATGAAGAAACAACGTAGAAGAAGAATTTCTCACGGACTCTTTGATTATGTACATCGAAAGGGAAATTGCAGAAAAGTTTAGCATTGACTCAATCATAGATGGTTTTGGAGATATGAAAGAACAACAAGTGTTATTTTGAAACCTAATTGAATAAACAATTTTTTTCTGCCTTTTATTTTTCCAAACATTATTAAGGTTGAAAAATTGAAATTTTTTAATGTCTTGTTTGGTTTATATGTTGTCCCCCACAACACATAAATTCCTGGCTCCACCATTGAGTGGGTCCTTTCACATATATATTTCAATGTTAATTAAGGTCATGCGTCCATATTAAACATGTAAATTCATAATATCATGAGTGCTGTGTTAATGTCCCACCAAAAGTTTGTTGTGATTGTATTGAATATAATTGAGTTCAGTCAAGGTTGATCCTAAGATTTTGAGGGTCCTATTCGAAACTTAAACTGGAGAACTCACATAATCTAATATGAAAATACTATAAAATAAAATAAATAAAAATTTGCCATAACTTTAATGTCATAAAATAATTTTTTATAACTAAAATTCATCATCAATTAGCATGTAATACCAATTACAAATCAAATTCATAAATTTTTTAGTGTTTTCATTTGTTAAAGTTAATATTAGTATGTTCGGTAAAAAAAAAAAGAGTTCAAGAGAGAAGAAGAATGATTTTATTTTTTTTTTTTTGTTTTGTTTGGATGAAGATACTTTGTTTTTGTTTTTAGGAGAAAGTATATGGGTGTGATATATAGTGCTTTTAGTTTAGTTGGATCTTTCCCTTTGTTTTTTTACATGCTTCTGTTTTTTTAATAATTATTTTAAATTTTGTAGTTATAATTAAAAAGAATAAAAACATGAATGGAGACATCACTGAAACACGAACTTAGTCCTTGTACCAAGGTGTATGCACTATAAATGAGCTCCACCAATACACTTTTGTGTCAATATACTGCACGCTGAAGTATACATACAATTTTTATAGTATTAATATATATAATATAAAGTAAAAAAAAATATTCGAAGACCCTGTGTGGTAGGGCCACATGCACCATGCCAGGGCCGGCCCTATGTTCAGTCAATTATGGTGTGAGTAATAGTTGGTAAGCACAAATTATTGTTGAAATGTATTCAACACGGTGCATGTTGTGTGAATTGCATGTCGTGTGAAATGTATTCAACACGGTGCACAAAATTCACGTGTTTTTTGAAGTGCACTTATAAATACAGCTACAAGTCTACAACAAAGTTTCACTGCGAAGTTCAAAGGAGAGGTTAGAACGACTTTGGTGGTCTCCAGCAGCAAGTGAATATTATTATTAGAGAGGTTTAAAAGATTGGTGACCATGGGAAATTTCTCATTACTTGCTGCTGCTGCAAGAAGGTTTGTGTTCTTTTGCTTTCTAGGATGGGCACGTAGTTGCCGTACGTGACTATCATGACTAAATGCAAGTTCTAAATTTCTATTTGAATTCTTATTATGTTTAAAATAATAATAATAATAGGATTTAATTGATTTCAATCATTAGTAAGGCAATTAGGTTTTTAATGAATGCCAGATGGAAAATTTCAAAGCAATGGGATGGGACGATATATAAATATTTGTTAGGTGCAAATAGAATTAATTGATCGGTTTATTTTCCCTCAGAATGTCAATACACTAAAATGACATTGTTATTTATTTGTGTTTTTGGTGAAACTAAACACTCTGCGTTAATATTGAAGGCTTGAAGGTAAAGTGGCCCTAATTACCGGTGGCGCGAGCGGCATAGGAGAGTCCACTGCAAGGCTCTTCTCAAAACATGGAGCTAGAGTTGTGATTGCAGATGTGCAAGACGACTTGGCTGAATCTGTTTGCAGAGATCTAAGATCTTCGTCCACCTCATTTGTCCATTGCGATGTAACAAAAGAAGAAGACGTGGAAAACGCTGTCAAAACAGCTACAAGAAAATATGGAAAGCTTGACATCATGTTCAACAATGCAGGCACAGGTGGCATAGCAAAACCTAACATCCTTGACAATGACAAGGCAGAATTTGAGCAAGTGATTAGGGTAAATCTAGTTGGTGCGTTTTTGGGGATCAAACATGCAGCTCGCGTTATGATCCCAGCTGGCCAAGGGAGCATAATTAACACTGCTAGTGTGTGTTCCACCATCGGGGGTGGCTCATCACATGCGTACACAAGTTCAAAGCATGTGAGAAATACGGCCGTGGAGCTCGGACAACACGGTATTCGTGTGAACTGTGTGTCGCCGTATATAGTTGCCACGCCGTTGGCGAAGAACTTCTTTAAGCTTGATGATGACGGAGTTCATGGTGCTTATTCCAACCTTAAAGGTGGGGTTCTTAAGGCAGAAGACATTGCTGAAGCTGCTCTTTACTTGGGTAGTGATGAGTCTAAGTATGTTAGTGGGCATAATCTTGTGGTAGATGGTGGCTTCACTATTGTGAACCCAAGGTTTTGCATATTTGAACAATCTTGAGAAAAATGTTCAATCTAATACGGTGGCAAAAGAAATAAAGGAATGCTTAAACGTGTATGGCTTTAAATAATGCAGTGGTGAACGATTTAGTGGGTCTCCAGGATAGCCATGTGTACTAGCCCAATGTATTGTTTGTCTCTTTTACTTAGTTTTCTGCTTGGACTTTGAGTCTCTGTTGTCTAAAACAACATTAGCCAAACTGAAAGAGGCCCAATTATTCATTGAACTCACATATAATCCAATCCAAATAACCAAACACTCAATTAAACATAGATATCTACAGAGGAGGTGCCCATCATATTTCTTTTCAAACATCGATTTTTGGGTTCAAGTGATTTACCATAGTTGCAAGATTGAACATAAGAGGAAATAATATATATTTTTGTTTATTTTTAAATTGGGGAAAGATTATAGACCTTGAGGTGGGAAGATAGGTGTTTACGAAGGTTTTGGGGGAAAGAAAAGCTTGCTGATCAGACATTGAAAAGGAAAAAGAGAGACTAATGAATATCTAGAAGATAACTCAATTGGGTTTTTTTTTCTCTTTTTTAACTGTCCCTGATGTCATTGGACTAGATTCAGGGAAATTATTGCGGTAGAGAGGGGTTATAGAAAATTTATTTTCTAGAGTGATTTTCCTCATATCTTTTCAGGCTTAGCTTTTTAGTTGGCTTAACCCAATGGTTAAGTTTTTATTCATGTATGCCATATTGTTATTGGGATGTCTCCCTTTACATATTGTACGTGTTCTTTATACTCGTTTTTCCTATTAATATAAAAAATAATTTTATTATCAAATTGTGAGGAAATTGAGCTTTGTGATGTGTCAACTTTAAGTTTCTTGAATTAAATATGGAAAATTAAGGTGGAGAAGATACAAGTAGAGGATTCGGATCCCATGAGAAAAATCCTCAAACTTCAATCGATTTCTTGCAATATTTTACTATGTTGGTGCTTTGTTCGTTGAAATTTGTTTTCGTTGTTTTTTCCAATGGGCTACTAGAAAATATGGAAAGGAACCAAGTTATCATGCCTCAAACAAAGATGACTTGTACTATATATCTATCAACGAAGAGAAACTCTCATGCAACGGGGATACTACTTTTTGCTATTCCCGACCAATAACACAATGACACGTGAGATAATTTTTCCATGTATCATTGTATTATTGGCCATGAATAGCAAAACAGTGATATCCCCATTACAAGAAAGTTTTTTCTTATCAAGGATATGATCGCTACCTTGGAAAGAGAACCTTAGATGTCGAAGTTTATGTTGATATATCGGTTTCATGAGAGAATCCACTCCTAGATACCACTGTAGAATAATCTTGAATTAAAAAGAAAGAAAAAAAGATTCAGTTAGATTCTAGTCATCATTGGCCTTGGAATGTTCTTGCAAAAATGATAAAAAAGAGAAAATGGTAGAGACGAGGTTAATGAAACTTCCCTTGTACCACACGCCAACCGGTCAATGCCGGATTCTCCTCCTAGTTATTAGCTTTCTTGTAGTACAAGGATTCAATCTGAGTACCAGTAGTAACGCACGTTGGGACAAAAGGGGTCACATGACCACTTGGGATGCTGGAAATCAGGCAGTGGACTCCACCGACGACCTCTTGTGTGCAAGGTGCTTGATGAAAGTCCCTTGTGGACTTGCTTTGCGCTGCTCTCTAAACTTCTACCAGACGCATCTGCTCTGCTCTAGCAGCACCATGACTTGAATTTTTTTTGGGTTGTAGAGGCAGCAAAGAAGATAATGTTGGTGCTTTGCCCTAGCTTATGCCTCATTTTAGTTGAAACTCACCGTTTCACTAGTTGTAGGCTTTTTAAAAAAGTCTGGGCCATGTATAAGTCTGGCCCAAATTTTTATTAATAACTAGTAAGTCTTTTTAAAAAGTCTGACCCAAATATTTATTAATAAAACCATTTTAACCTTTTAGTCTATACCCAGTGATATATTTAACTAATATATTAGTACAATAATAATTTATAAAAATTAATAAATATATGATTTTAACTTTCGTATACGTGTCGTACTCATATCCTAATTTTTGAAGAATTGAATAAATGTACTATCTTTATGCTTTTTAGTGTTATTTTTTTATTAAAAAAATATCGACACTTTTACACTGTGACCCCTTGAACCGAGAATCCTAGATCTGCCACTGCTGAGTACATAATCTTTTCCTACCATAAGTTAGACTTTATGCACTCATATAAATATGTACTTTGTACAATTGAATAATATAAGGAAATTCAATTTCTATACAGATGATCATATTAGTTGTACTTTGCGCAGCGTCTCTTACGTACCATTTCTTGTGATATTCATGTTTGTCACAAAATATGTACTTTTACACTGTGACCCCTTGAACCGAGAATCCTAGATCCGCCACTGCTGAGTACATAATCTTTTCCTACCATAAGTTAGACTTTATGCACTCATATAAATATGTACTTTGTACAATTGAATAATACAAGGAAATGCAATTTTCTATACAGATGATCATATTAGTTGTACTTTGCGCAGCGTCTCTTACGTACCATTTCTTGTGATATTCATGTTTGTCACAAAACATAGCAGCTTCCTTCGGTGGCACTAATACTAAGGCCAGGAGAAATGGATGACATAGTCATTATCTGATATCATGGTAATATCTAAAGTAAATAATCAATTGATTTCGTGTCATGCATTAGCATTTTTACTCTCCATTACATGAATCATGATATTATGACACAGGCCCAGTGGCCCACATATTTTTCAAAGAAAATGTGATTTGTTCATTGGCAGTATATGCCTGGCATTGTACTTAGATTCAATTTTATAAACTCAAAAACAGATTTTAAGTCTAAAGTCACAAAAACACGTTTGGTAAGTCCATTTTAAAAAATAAAAAACAATCCCATTATTAAATAAATTTTTTTTTTAAAAAAAAGAGATTTTATAGTTCTCTCTCTCTCTCTCTCTCTCTCTCTCGTTAATTTCAATTTGGGAATTTAGGGTTTCTGATTTTCTGATTTTAATTTCAATTTTTTTAAATCTTAAAAATAGTTTGGAGTTCAATACCAAACAAGTTTTCAGAGCTTAAAATCACTATTTGAAAACTCATCTTTTTAAAAAGAATTATAATTTTTAATTTACTATAAATATTAACGTAAAAGGCTTCAACTTTTATTTTTACAAAGACTTTAAAATCAATGGACTGGCCTGGGTGGGGTATTACAATTCTGCTACTTTTTATTTTGTTGTCGGTAGATTTGTAGACGGTGAGCAATAGCTTCGTCAATTGGGATATCATAGCATCAATTGCTTTATATCAAGCTCTTTTCTATAGAGAAAACAGTGAATTCATTAAAGATGCTGGAAGGTGGCAGACATGTATCCACTTGTTTCTTGTTTCATGCTGCAGGCTTTGCAGATCAAAATTGTATGGATATATATTTACATCAATCACATTATATGAAGACCACCAATACTTTTTCCTGTTCCAAAGCATGCGTACCCTGTTCTAATCGAACCATCACTTTCATGTAGCTGCTGGCATGGACCATGGTATGAAAGAGAAGCAGACAATACAGTCTACTAGATGCTCATTCTACCCCAAAATAATAGTAAAAACAATAATTTGTAACACCGCTCGTAATGTTGTTGTTAAAATACATATATATTTTGCGAGTACTGGTGGGTAGCAGAAATAATTGTAGTAAATATAAGCGTGATACGCATGCCACAATTGGACTTATAAATACAGCTACAAGTCTACAACATAGATACACTCGGAAGTCCAAACAAGAGCTTAGAAAAACTTTGGTGACGGTCTCCAGCAACTGAATTTTCGTGTTATACTGGTTTGAAAATTTGATGACTATGGGAAATTTCTCATTACTCGCTGCTGCTGCAAGAAGGTATTATAATTTATATGCATCTATTTACTTGTTTTTTTCCCTCTTCACACCTCCTAAATCTTGTTATTTTCATTTTAAGCTCTGGTGACTATCGTGGCTGTGTGCCAGCCCTAAGTTGCCTTTTGAGTTCTAATTATGTTTTAAAAATAATAATCAAACGACGATGCAATGTAAGATGGAAATAGAATTACTTTATTTCAATTGGTCCTTGACTCCTGCCAAAAAAAGAGAGAGGGAGGGGGTGCTTTTGAGTAATTAGTTATTTTCCCACATAAAACAACACTCAGAATGCTAGTTAGGGAGGCCATGATTGTTGGTGTACTCTTTATATAAATTTGTATTTCATGAGAATAAGTCACATGATGGATATAAAATTGTATGCGGCTGGGGGTTCTGGTGTTTGTGAATGGGGTACCTTGCCTCCAGTTTGGCTGGTCCCCTCAATGGCCAATGATGTAAACATCCGTTTTGTTGATTAATGAATGCATACCAATTATCGTTTTTGGCAACAAAAAAAGAGTATATAATGTATTTGTGACACATATACGGGGAGTGTTTGAATTTGAGTGCAAGAAGGTCGGCTCACTGCCTCTTTAGGGTTGAATTATGAATCTATGATTTAAACCTCATACTTTTGACGATTATCATAGCACCCTCTAGGTTTGTATTGGTCAAGGTCATTCATATGTTGCTAATTATCTTACAAGAACGACCAATGGAGAAGATGCACTTATAAAATCTATAGATCTTATATGCTAGGGATCAGATCTAAATTACTCTTCTATTTTATTTCAAAATTTCCCCCTTCGTAATTTCTATATCAAATCCATGTAATACTAAATCCAACTTCCTTTTGCTGATGAGTGGAACATAAGACTTTCACCATATGAAAGTGATGCCATTGTTATTTATGTTTTTACCGAAACTAACACTCTGCGTCAATATTGAAGGCTTGAAGGTAAAGTGGCACTAATCACTGGTGGGGCGAGCGGCATAGGAGAGTCCACTGTAAGACTCTTCTCAAAACATGGAGCTAAAGTTGTGATTGCAGATGTGCAAGACGACTTGGCTGAATCTATTTGCAGAGACCTAAGCTCTTCGTCCACTTCATTCGTCCATTGCGACGTAACGAAAGAAGAAGACGTCGAAAATGCTGTTAAAACAGCCACAAGCAAATATGGAAAGCTAGACATCATGTTCAACAATGCAGGCATAGCTGGTACAGCAAAAACCAACATCCTTGACAATGACAAGGCAGAATTTGAGCAAGTGATTGGGGTAAATTTGGTCGGTGTGTTTTTGGGGATCAAACATGCAGCTCGTGTTATGATCTCAGCTGGCCAAGGAAGCATAATTAACACTGCCAGTGCTTGTTCCACCATTGGGGGGTGCGCATCACATGCGTACACGAGTTCAAAGCATGGAGTACTAGGGCTGGTGAGAAATACGGCCATAGAGCTTGGACAACACGGTATTCGGGTGAATTGTGTGTCGCCATATATAGTTGCCACGCCGTTGGCGAAGGACTTCTTTAAGCTTGATGATGATGGAGTTCATGGTGTTTATTCCAACCTTAAAGGAGAGGTTCTTAAGGCAGAAGATATTGCTGAAGCTGCTCTTTACTTGGGAAGTGATGAGTCAAAGTATGTTAGTGGACATAATCTTTTGGTAGATGGAGGCTTCACTAATGTGAACGCAAGGTTTTGCATCTTTGAACAAGCTTGAGAAAAATGTTCAATGTAATAAGTTGGCAAAATAAATAACGGAATGCCTAAACGCATATGTTGTTTAGTTCCAACTGAAGAATTTCAGACTCTTGCTCTGATCTTGGTTCACTTTCTTTGAGAATCCTCTTCTTAATGTGGTAGATGATTTCTTGGATTTCTCCAGTACAAGAGCCACCTGTAACTAGCCCAATGGATTGTTTGTCTCTTCGGCTTAGTTTTCTACTTGGGCTTTGAGCCTTTGTTGTGAAAGAGTTAAATAAAATAACATTGAATTCATTTTCAAGTTCCAATAAATAGCTATAGCGAAAATGCCCATCCTTTTTCTTCTCAAAAATCAAAATTTTTTTTTTTCCATTGTAGGAAATAAATTTCACTTGGGGTTCGATCGTGGGTGCCATAGGGGGAGGGGCAATCCACCACCGCTGTGGTGGGAACCCATTGGCTAAAAAAATCCATTTTTGAGTTCAAACCTTGTAAGTGATATGTCATAATTGCGATATTGGACATATGAGAAAATAAGAGATTTTCACCTTCTTCTTTTTTAATTTAAATAATTAGGGAAACATTATAAACCATGAGGTGGGAAGTAGGGGTGGATACGGTCTGGTTTGGTTTGGTTTTCACCTCAAATCGGAATTAGAACCAATACTATTTAACCTATTCGGTTTGGTCTGGTTTTAGTGAAAAAAATTATAAAACCAGCTAGTTCAGTTTGAACTGGTTCTGGTATGGTTTCCAATTCAGTCCGATTTTAGATCGGATTACTATTATTATTTTTATATAAATTCCAACTAAAATTTTATTTTTTGGGCTTAAAAAACAAATAAGGGCCTTGTAGTTGGGCTTGATGGCTTGGAAGAGTATATGGGCTTGAAGAAAGATTAGGCTTGGAGAAAAAATTGGGTTTGGCCTAATATTATATAAATAAATAATATGCATTTAAGCCAGTTCGGTTTGGCTCGGTTTATTTTTTTACTACAAGAACTGGAATTAGAATTGGACCAAACTGGTCCGGTTCAATTTTTTGCCAACTTGGTCCATTTTTGGTCAACTCGGTTTTTCCCCCTTGTTTTTTCGACTCAATTTGA